CAATGACAAGATAATAGACTTTTCACTTGTTCAGGTAATACTTTGTTTAGGTAATACTCAAATATATTCTGATAGAGTCACACAAATTTATTTTTTTGTAATTTTACAATGTCCATACTTTATTATTTTTACTATCCAAAAATCTAGCCTGGCAGCGTTTAAAGGTGTCTGCAACAAAACCTGGACAATTTTCTCTCTTGACTTGATTATAAGACAGACAGCTTATCAATAATGTACTATTCCCTTCTTGAGCATACATTATATGAAAAAGTAATTTATGCCAAGTTTTCTTTACCAGCGAAATGAAGTCAGTAGCAGTCAAGCTATGGAATATGCTGGTTTTAAAAATTCCATTGCCCATTTGTAAAGTGAAAATCTGCAGTTGTCGACATTTGTATCTGACCGACATACAACAATTGCAAAACTTATGCGGGAACAGCTGCCAGATATAACCCACTACTTTGACCTATGGCATTTGAAAAAAAGTAAGTTTAAGCATATAAGAATATGGAGCTAAGTGGGTCTAACTCTTAAGCTAACAGAGACAAAAGGTTATGACTTTTATTTCATTTTTGTAGAGATCCACAAAGAACTTACAAACTTGGCCAAACAAAATGACTGCAAATCGCTTGAGCCATGGGTACAGCCATGTGTTAACCACCTATTTTGGAGTGCCACATCAACATTCGATGGGAATGGAAATGTCATTTGGGCCAAATTCAAATCATTTTTGAGTCACGTGATTGACAAGCATGACAATCTGGATGATCCCCTATTCAACCGATGCGAACATGCAGAAATTAATGACCGTTTCTGGTTAAAAAAAGTGGGTTAACCTTCTTAAAGGTCATGATGATATTCTTTAATTGTAGTAAATAAATGCTTAACAGAAAATTACAAAGCTGAATCCTGAAGACTCTTAACATTCAATTCTGTAATAATTACAGTGCTGCAAAGATAACAGATGTGACTGCTCAACTGACTTCAAAAAGATAACTGCTGCAATGGTTATGAAACAAAGCCTTTTTTTTATATTATCTCATGTAAGCATGCTACAGATTTCCTTGTATCGGTTTCTAGAATCAACAGCCTATGAGAAATTGGAGGCATGTCTTACGAACAAGAGGCTGGTAAATGGGATAAAAAAGGCATCTCCACTTGATCAAACTAGTTGTCTCGAAGGATTCCATTCACTTGTGAATTATTTTGCACCAAAGATGGTTGCCTTTTCACACACTGGAATGATGATACGGTACTGTATATTTTCCAAATTTATCAAAAGTGGGAATCAATTTTGTATGATGTATTTCTACTTTGTATATACAGTTTCTGCTCAGATACTAAGTGAAATTTATTTGCTAACAGACATATTCTTGCATCTATCCATTTCAACTGTAACCTGAGACGCGAGAGTAAAACAACCTCGGATGGTGAAAAACAAGTGGCTGTGTCCTGGCCTAAATTCAAAACTGGACAAGCAACTGTGCGCGATGTAAGAGTCAAACAGGATTTAGGTAATGCACTTTGTATAACTTCAGTTTCATTCATACAGTACTTCCCTTATTTCAAGAAAGAATTATGTAAATAAATATTTTGATTCTCTCAAAAATGCTATTTCGATATAAAATTGCAATTTTATTTTATTAAGGGTATGTCAGGGAAATTTTCATCTCAATAATGAGGACAAGTTCAGAGACCTTAAAAGAGGTAGAAGACGAATTGAAGCTGGCATGCCCTGAACCAATGAACCGGATGCTGGATAGGCAGACAAGGAAAGATGCCCTTGCCAAGAAAGAGTCTCGCGATAAAGCAACATCCATCAATGTTCCAGCCACAGGTGCGTTGGCAAGAAAGAAAATCCAAAATATAATTTATTTACCATTTGTCAAATACTTGATATGATATGAATATATGATAATTGATATGAATATATATTTAACATCCTGAAATCAAAGCACCTGTCTTTTATTTTTATTGTCTAATTTTATTTTTATTATCTAAACTTTTTCATATTTACAGATGTTTACAAAACCAGGGCAACACCCAATATTCTCTTATTATATCAATACTGTAAATTTTCAATTTGAATTGCATAAAATATTAACTGACAATTAGCAAAAAAGTGTTAAATGATAAGCCACCTTGGAGACCACAGCTAGTATTACGTTATATTTCCAAAAATTTTCTTCAGGTGAAGTAACTGACATTGATGTTATAAAGAAGAAACCACACTGTCGTAGATGCAACCAACTAATGAAAGGCCATAAATATACAGATTGCCCAAATTTTGACAATGAAAAGGAATGAACCAACTACTTTGATTCACAGTAAGAAACAAGATCAGTGTTTTGTATAAATGCAGTTATTCACTCATTTACATCATCCACATACCCTGTAAATATGTCATTTTCTTTAAATTTGTTACGGATAGCATGATATGCACATGCAGGCAAAGGTACTCTTCTTTTCCCAATGGTTCCATAGACCAGGCTTGTAAACTCTCTATACGAGACACTCCTAAGAAATTTCTCCTCAGGAACAGATCCAGTATGCCTATATCTCTGTCCTTTTCTTGTCTTATATTTTGTAGATGCAAGACGCAATGACCATGTTTCAAGACATACTGGCCTGAATCCTGGATGTTGGGTCATACAAGATGGTACACAACCAAGTTCTCTGAACACCAACTCATCATTTATTGCCTCAACACAAAGATCAATTTCCAAGCAACATCTACATTCCATTGCATTTTGCAACAATATTCTGTCACATTTCACACATTTACACCTAAGAAAAGTTATTATGTAATAAAATGATATTAAGTGTTTTACAAACTTTAGGTAAGTATGGAAACAACACTTGTCAGAAGAGGTTCTCAAATAGCACAGGGACATAATGGAAAAGAAATTCTAGCGGATGGCCAAAGAAGGAAAAATATTCATATTTTATCACGATAAAATAAAGAACTAAGATAGTCTAACTAAAACCCCTCGATTTAACTAAAACCCCTTTTTTCATCCTGATTTTCAGTGGAATGAGCTCTGTTGCCCGAAAGAAGACAACAGCTCAGTTGTCCTATTATGTTTTATTAGGGTTTCTAACTACTTTTCCTTCACCAACTTATGTGTTTTGTTTTCCCTTTCCAAAGGCAAAGTATGCGTATACACCTACTGATGATACAACCGCTATATCAAGGACCTTTACTAAAGCATGTTATCAATTACAAATATTTGATTTTTAAACATTTACTTTTAAATTACTATGTCCAAACCAAAACGTATATAATATGATGTGTAGTCGCCAAGTGGGCTTGCAGTTACACGCAAGTTTAAGGGTCAAAAACGTGTAGCCAAAGTCATACACGTTCTCAAACCCACTCCGGTTGCATTTGTCAAGTACCTAGGCCCTTGCTTGTAACTTCCAAAACTTGGCACGTAACTTACCACGATTTAAGCTTTGTGCTACCATCAAGTCGTTTTTTCAATTCGTCTTCTTCTCTTTGCTCTTCTTCTTTTTCTCTCCTATACTCTTCCAACCAAGCCTCATCAGCAAGGGGTTCGTCGGAATAGGGAACGACAATCCTTGCATCACCGTAAACACTTACTCCCGCGGCCGCTCTAACATATTCTTCGGTGTAACTGCAGTCTGAATCGTTTTGACTGTCATCTGACCGCGAACTTGTATCAGACATATTTCGATAAAATGAAAAACAGCGAAGCACCAACGATATATTTACCGGCACAAATTCACTTCGTAGTCAATAAACAGAGCAACTAAAGCTTCGCGTTGATATCGTTCCTTAAATGACGTCAGAAAAATGTTGAGTCTCTCTTGCAAGTTTCTCGCCCGAGACTTCCAAAGAGCCCGAAAATGTTGAAGTCAGCAATAAACTAAGAACAAGATAAAACATAGACGATGAATCAAAATCAAAATTTTATTTTTTCACATTATTCCGCGTATTCAAAATATTCGGTTAATGCATTCAGTTCATAGGGGTGATATGCACTTTAACCAAAGTGTGTCAATTAGTACTCAAGTACTTTTCTCAATATCCTGGCTGTTCCTAATAATGTCGTCTTCTGTAAGAATGCTGCATTCACAGTGATATCCAATTTTTCTAACCAATCATCCAGTTTCTTTGTTAAACTGCCAAGTGCTCCAACAATCACTGGTACAACCATCACACTTCTCGTCATTTGACTTTATGATCTTTACCATTTTGACAGATGCTGTAGGAATAATAGCTGCCTTGGCAACATGAACATATGCCATATTCGTATCCATTTTCTCTTTCCAGTATTTAATAACAACTTGATCTCCAGACAAGGGAACAAGTGTAATTTACTTGTTAAAATGATCTCTGACAGCTCCTTTAAAATTTAACTCTGTATCCATTCCCAAAATGTTAGATGAAATAGCTGATGACACCAGTACCGGCTGATATTCAAGTATGTATGACGTTCCATCTTCACATAAAAATTTGATATTCAAGTAGGCAACACCACCCAAAGAGAAAGTTTCACCGGAAATTCAAATTCCGCTACGGTTTACAGGAACCAAAGGTGGCTTGATTTTCAATTCGTCGTATCAACGCGATCATTGCTAGAATAACTTGTCGTGGCCATCTCAAAACTTGCTTTTGCTGTTGCAATATTATACGAATTATCTGCAACTTTCGAATTAATAAGCTCTCTAGTGTACATTTCCCCGTTAACTGCAAAAGTTTGGCTGGCTCCTGAATTGAAGAGTCCAGCTGCGATAATATGTGGTTTTGTGCTATCGAAGAGATCACATTACTGTCTGAAACTCCATACAGCTCTTGTACGACTGATTTAACTTCCAATGCAAATGTTGTGATATTTACGCATGGTTCAAAAACAAGTGAACAAAGCTTTGTCTCCAAAATTCTTAATTCTTCGGCACCTCAATATTTGGTTTCAAGTTCATGCTTTAAAGGGGCTGGATAAGAAATTCGTAAACATTGCGCATCACGGGTCATCCCGCGCGATTTGGAGCTGGAGGAAGATTTCGAAATGGCGGCCTTCGGACATACTGAAAGTTACATTCCTGGTAATTCATCGATGGATTCTTCAGAGAGTGCCGAAAGCGACAGTACTTTTTCTGGACCAGACGTGGTGAGTACTCATTTAATCAAAATACAATTTATACATAACATTTGGGCTGTTTAGATGAAAGAATAGGCTTCTTCGGTAGGCCATGTCGGCATGGTTCTTGTGAAATCGTTCACTTTAGGGCAGCAGCTCTTTACATCTTTGCAAGAATGGTTATCTTTGAATATAAACATCAATTAATAATATTTCTTCACCCAACAGCCAGCACACCCACCTTGTGACTGTGTAGGAAAATTGTGTGCTACAAAATCCACAACTAAGCGCAAAGGATGCATTTGTAGAGATGGTCAGCGAAAATGTTCATCTCACTGTCGTTGTGGGAGGCAAGGACAGCCGTGCAAAAACAAGGTACGATAAACACTCCTTTTTATTTTTAACTTTATTCCGCAATTTAATCCTTAATCAATAACAAAAGCAAAATTTTTAACTAAAACTTTTAAAGCTGAGATATTTCCATTAACAAACAGGATCTTGCATTCTTCCAGTACCACCAGGAGTAAATAAGGTTTATTTCAACCAATGCTTTCTTTTGTTTCTCCAATTTTGGCAACCCCTTGTTATTATAAGCTCATAACATGTTACTTGGTACCTGTGCAAGAAATTGTTGCCCCTGGGTTCCCAGGAGGGTGAAAGGGTCACAAGAAATTTCCAATAAAGTTTCTACTACACAAGATTCTACTAACATTTTGGTGAACCCTTCATATTTAGTCATTGGTTCTACATATATAGATATTTTTCAAATGGCCATATGTTTCTACTTTTCTTCAGGTGCATATTAATTCACCTACACAAAATGCAACAAACGAGAGTGTTGGTAAAGATGAAGAAGACCAACAAGAAAACCTTGTTGTGGAGGTAAGTGTATATTCTGGTTAATAAAAAACTAATTTTACATACAGCATCAGAGAGCATACCTACAGTTAATAATTTGCTAAAATAAAAACTAAGAATATACCAACATTTAGACAAAGAAATTTGGCAAGCAGAGAATTTAGCAAGCCTGAGTATCTTTTTCTTCAAACAAAAATAATTCTAATGAATAAATTTAGGTAATGTTATGCAAATTTTGCATGCCTTAGAACTATTTGTTAGTTCTTGTGGGAATTATAACTTTTCAATCTATACTCAAAGAGTTCAATAGCCAAGGAAACTTTCCGTATGTTTTAAAAATATTTTGGCTGTTCAAGGAAATTTTTAAAGCAAATTTAGTAAGGGCCGCATGTCAAATCACATTATTATATTATTTCAAACAGACGTTCATTGAGACCCTGCCAATCAGAGAGTTGGAGAAGTTGGTCTCTGTTAAGTATAAATGTGGAGTTGGTAGCATGGAATTTATCCAGAGTGTTTTACAGGAAGATGCACAGCAGAAAGACATTCAGTCAAATGACCCCAACTTGCCACAGTGGTGTAAGTGTGGAAAATGCAGAGAAATGCAACGTGACATTGAAAATAAATGTTGCAATAAAGCTGAATGCATTACGTCAAGGCGAAAATTTTCAAAATTCTGCCTTGATCCAGAAAACTTAGAAATGGTGATAAAAAATACCACAGACATCAGAAATGACAGAAGAGACAACAGCACACGTGCATTTCGCAAGGCAGGATACAGACAATTTGTCTTGTGGCAACATGGCTATCTTGGGAAAGGCAATCGCAAGGTGGTCCCATCTTGTGCTGTTTTATGCATCAGGAGCAAGTACCCCTCACCAACTGGCATATATATGGGTTTCAAAGAACATTAACATTAACAAAAAAGACACATACCACTGGGCATCAACACTGTTTTGCCATAATTTTCACTTTGTTTTTGGAAAGCTTGTTTATTTATCTAAACATCATGTTTGAAATTTTTCTACTGTTTTTTCAAAAAAATTTATCAGGTGTGTCCAATTTTCTTGAAAATTCTGGCAAATATAAAATGCATAAAACCTTTACTCTAAATATATACATAATTTATTTTTTTGCAAAGTCAAGCCTGCTAACATATCGTTTTGCAATTTCAGCAGTAGGCTCTGGAGGAGATTTTCCAATTGTGGCAGCAATCTTTCTTGGGTCACTTTCCTTCAGAACAATCTTTTTATTTAACTCTCCATATTCTGAAATTCGTTTTCTCAGAATCTTGGCAATCATCATTGGGACATAAGGATAGTCCTTTTCATTAAACAGCTTCTTGATTGTCCAGTTATTCGTTCTTGGATTGTATTTTCTTGTTACAAGAAATTTCCCTGTTTTCTTATTTACAGCTGGTGATCTGTTTAAGTGACTGTTCCAGTCAATTGCTGCTAGGCATTTTCTTGCTTTGAAAGCATCAAATCTGAATGGATAAACACATAATTTAAGAAAAAATCCTGTTTGCCAAAACTAGAAGGAAATAAAAACACAGTTTTCGATGAGGAAATTTAGCTATTAATGTTATTCACAGTGTACAGCCAGAATTGCAAATCAGGTGAATTTCTACTTTTATTAGTACCATGTCATTTTTTAATTGTTCTTGTAAATGATGTCAATTTGAATAATAGTTTGGATTATTTACCCAAAAGCAATTCGTTTGGATGCATAAGCAAGAGATAGGTTGTTGATACACTCTAGCTTTCCTGTGTGACGAAACCTTGTATAATATTGTAATGAATTCAAAAATTTTGGATCCAAAACAATTTGTTGCAGTGCCTTGTAATCACCATCTGTCTCTTTGAACCATGGCAATTCATGATCATCTATTATTTGATGTTTGCAAGCACCCCCTACCCATTCATGCTCGTTGCATACGTGGTGAAGAACTCCAAGCCAGTCACTCTAACAGATAAAACAATGCAACAATAATAGGTTATTTTGAAAGAGATAAAACTAAATTTAATGTAAAAAGTAATAAGTTTGAACTGAAGGATTAAGTTAAAATTCTGCACCAAAGTGAGAAAGCCACTTCTGTTATTTATTCTTTTACCAAAGATTATTACCACCAACTGTTGTTTGTTTGTTTGTTTGTTACAGCAAGAAAAGTATGATAAGACAGACAATTAAAACTTGTGTCTCCTTCAAATTACAATGTGACAGTGCCAGCTACCACAGAAAAGGAAGAGAAATGGGTGTGGCCCATGACACCAACTCTTTCTCCCAATTTATGTGTTATACACCTGTTATATTTGTTGATCTATCTCTCTCACCCATTATTTTGAAATTAAAGTCTGTTCTACATTAGATCTCATGCAGAAAAAAATCCACTAAAAAATCCACTGAGTCAAAAATTAATTTATAAAGACACCTCTTGACATTCAAGTTGAGACAGATATTATCAAGCAAACAATCAGAAACCAGAACAATATAAAGAAGTGGTAAAATCTGCTTTGAAACATACTTTCAACTTTTCCAGTGCTTCCATGTCTGTAAGGTCACCACCTGGATTGCAAGATTGGCAAATAAACCAAAAGTGGTTGACTATTTCATGAGCCCATAGCCTTATTTTATGAAGTGACCTTTTCTTGCCAACCTGTCAAAAAAGGACCACAAAGATTTTGAACATCCTGCATGTATCAAACAAGTTAAAGTTCTACTACAAACAGATTTTTCTTGATTTGTTTAAAACCCTAACACCACACCAGCTGACACTTAGTGCATGTTGTACTCAATACACTATGACATTATGCATTCACTGTTTTTCAAAATAGAGCCTAATAGTAGGGTTTTTGGTGATAAAATTAAAGCACCTTACCTAATAATATGTTAAAATTTCTTTGGCACATTAGGAAATTACCTTCAGGAGTGCTTTTCTCAGATTCTTTGATTTATGCCATATGTCTAGAGTATGGTTGATCTCTTGATGATTTTTTCCTGCAAATTAATTCAAAGAACAACCCTTAACTTATTGTTTGTTTTGCCTTTTATTCACTATCATCTAAAGCCAGTTTTCAGCCTTAGCTGCTGGACAGACTAAATTGGTTGTAAAAGAAAATTTATGCTTCAATGATTTTTTAGCTTTGTGAGGTGTCTTTACATTAACACTGTATTAAATCCAAAAGCTTAAAACCACTCTCTTCTAGGTAATTTGCTGTACTTACTCATATCTTTAATAATAGTTGATGATGCATCAGTTGTCAGCTCCCTTATGGGGATATCATTTTTTAGTTTTTGCAGCGACTGATTTAGAGCTACTCGCTCCATAGCTGTAGAATTACCACCTGTCATCCGCTTATCAAGTACTTCTGCATGTACAATCAGGGGCGGATCCAGACGGATAATATGACTGTCTTACAACAGAAGTACGGGGGTCCGGGGGCGTGGCCCCCTGGAGAATTTTTGGGAGCCACGCCCTCTACATCTTTGGAAACAGCTATGTTCAAGAAGATTGCTAAGGAAACGCCCTTGATTATATTATAAAAAATATTGAAGGTGTACTCACTTTGATGTTTAAACTATAGCCAACATATCATATACATTTGGCAGATTAAATTCATCGTTTTCACAATCTACCATTATATCTTTATCGAAGTCGAAATCCATTGCAGAAAATGTAAGATTTCGTCTTCCAGACAAGAGCAACTTGAGATAATACAACAATTTCTGTGAAAATCGTCTTTCATCAGCTTTGCGTCTTCCAGACAAGAGCAACTTGGAATAATACAACAATTTCTGTGAAAATCGTCTTTCATCAGCTTCTCCTCCAGACAATTCCAATCATCCTTACATATATTGCGCTGTTGCAAATTCCACCATGGAGGCAGTAATTTGCTTTCGAAGGTGCAGGGCACTCTGAGGCATATGATATAGCAGAAGATAGCTAGCAACATGAGACAAAGACGAGAAAAACAAAGCAGAAACACCAATTCCGTCCCAATCATGATCAAAGAGTGCATATCAACCTCATTGGGCGAAGAGGAGATAATAGCAAACCATGACTTGAAAAAATCTAAAGACTAACTTGACTGCAAACGGCGAGGAACAATAAATAAAAGTATAAGAAATATCAGGTTACTGTTCATGGCTGGTGAAGAAAAACTTGACTGCTAACGGCGAGAAACAATAATTATAAGTATAAGAAATATCAGGATACTGTTCATGGCTGGTGAAGAATAACTTGACTGCAAACAGCGAGAAACAATAATTATAAGTATAAGAAATACCAGGATACTGTTCATGGCTGGTGAAGAACAACTTGACTGCAAACGGCGAGGAAAAATAATTATAAGTATAAGAAATACCAGGATACTGTTCATGGCTGGTGAAGAATAACTTGATTGCAAACAGCGAGGAACAATAATTATAAGTATAAGAAATATCAGGATACTGTTCATGACTGACGAAGAACACCTTGACTGCAAACGGCGAGGAACAATAATTAAAAGTATAATAAATATCAGGATACTGTTCATGGCTGGTGAAGAATAACTTGACTGCAAACAGCGAGGAACAATAATTATACGTATAAGAAAGATCTGTATTGAAGGCTAGTACATCTCGGATGTGTAAATTTCGTCCTGCTCGCTTACTGAATTTTCTGATTGAAGGATGTTTGTTAGGGCTAATTTTCTTCGATGTTTCATGGCGTATCGGTCTATCACCTCTGCGACGTCGACTTTAATGTCCCTATGGGTATATAAAGTTGCCAAACCATTTAGCCTTTCTTGTGACATTGTGCTTCTCAAATATGTTTTCAAAAACCGTACATACGAGGCGGCACGCTCACACGTGCAACTTGTTACTGGTAAAACTGCAAGAATTTTCAAAGCTGTGAAGATGTTAGGAAAAGCAATCTTGTTTACTTTTTGCAATGTTTCTGCAATGGTTTTTGGAGTATTTTCTTCACAGCACCCACTCCAAGCAGATTCCCAATTGTCGACTTCATGTGAGAGGTTATCAGGATCTGGAAAATCACTTGCAAAGAAAATACAAAATTGAAGAAAGTCTTTTTTCCAATTCTTGTCAAGGCGCTGAAAGGTAATTTTGGCTTTTGGCTTTGCACTTTCATTTCCAGTCAAGTGGCATTTCTTCCCGTAGCAATCGTGGTCAGTTGAAGCATCGTGCTTTCGCTTGGCACCAACTTTCATGGGTGATTGGCCTTCTTTTTTTAAATAAGCTGGGATGATGGAAAATCCTTTTAATGCAGAGCAATTTTCGGAAGAAAATCTTCTTGACATTTCTGAAATAAGATGGTCTAAAAATGGGATAGCTACATTCAGCTTATAATGACTCTCAACATCATTTGAGGGTGTATTTGAACGGTGTTGCTGACTTCTGCATACTCTCGGAGCCCTTATGTCAGCACCAACCTCCTCTGCCATTTCACTAGCTTTGTTGAACCAGGCTCTGTGATACAAATCAACTTGATTCCTCGCAGCTGAAGACATCATAACATCAACTTCTCTCAGTCCTTTCAGAAGGTCAATGTCAGCTCCTTGCAGCTGTATTGTTGCTGAAAGAGTGTAGCCAAGACAGTTGCTGACAGTTACAAGTGTTTGTATAAATTCAAAGCTTGTCACAATAGCTGCCAACCCATAAGCCTCTGCTGCAGAAGACGTCCAGGTGTTGTCAGTATTGTCACAAATTGCAAACAAAGCTTCAGATATTGCTTTAAAAATCTTAATGAAACGCTGAAGACCATCAATGCGCATTATCCAACGAGTTCGACAAACATCTACCAGTTTTGTTTCTTTCACATCAGGATGAAACTTCTTTATCATCTTCTCTAAAAGATTCTGTTTTTTTGGAGAATTGTTAAAAAACTTTGAAATTACCTTAACATTCTCCATCATGTTCCTCACTGTTTGTATTTGACATGAGCTCGCTACACATAAATTTAACCTATGGGAAGAGCAATGTGTATATAACGCAAATTCATTCTGCTCTAAAATTCTAGTAGACACACCAGAATATTTGCCTGACATGTTTGCTGCACCATCATAACACTGCCCTCTACAGTCTTGCAAATCTAAGCCAAAGTCATTTGTAATACAGTCAACAATTTTTTCTGCTAAAGCTTGTCCTGAAGTTCCAGTGTCACAAAGTATGTATTTAAGAAACCTTTCCTTGATGCAACCAGATTTATCAACATAACGTATAACAAG